AATAGGGAGAAACCGCAACTGATTTTAAAATTTCACAGGGCGTAAAACCTGACAATCTAAAACTGAGAATACTTAAAACACCTAGAAAAGAAGAAGAAAAAAATGCTCTAAAATCCAAAGCAGTAAAAGGAAAAAATAAAAAGAAGGAACGTAACCGATTTTAAAATGTTCAGAAATTTAAATGGCTTTACACTGAATAATCAAAAAAGTTATAGAAGACCTAAATTTGAAAAAATAAAAAATAAAAAAAATTCATCCATATTTATTTCTGGGGTTCATTTGCAGGTCCTCAGAGCACACATATTGCCACTGACAAATGTTGCTTTCAATAAATCTGGCTCCAGGTAACAATACATGTTTGTTTGACTTTCTCATATGTTGTTGATTTTTTAAATAAGTACAAGTAAATTCTTTTGTCATGTGTCGAGTACGGAGCACTGGGAACAATCATAAGGACCGGAAAGATCACTGCTAGAAGAGGCAGAGGCAGACCAAGAGAAACGATGGTGGATGGCTTAAGACAGTGGCATGGAGGAATATTATCATTGGAATTGATCCAGAACACCAAAGACTGAGATCTGTAGATATCCATGAATGCCTACACCAGCTGGCAATGCACTGATAAAAGTCAAGGACCCTTTTCATGTCATTGTCATGTGAGGCATGTGGTGCTATATCCATATTTTTTTTTACACCAGTCTGTACACTTGATGGGTGATGAAGTCGGTTAACATCACACTGACCATTTTACATTAATTGCCTAATATTAAAATTCATTTATTAATTTTTTTAAATATATTAGTTGTTTTTTTCCTTGCAGAATCATTGTCTATTATTCTGTATGTGTTTACAGTAGTTGAACAAAAGTAGATCTAAGCACCCATTTTCATGCCATATTGGGTATATATGGTAAATTCTCCACACTTTTAGACGTCATCCCTCAGTGGGTGCTGTGTTCATTATCAGGCCAACTGGCATTACTGCTGATTTAATATCCATTTTAAACTGGGTGCCAGGTCAGTTATACAATTCTGCCTTTGATAGGGATCGGAAGACATATCCATAAAGTTGACATACAAGTGTGCCAGCCACCATGGTTGCCTTATTGAATATAGTCTTTAAATTTAGAAGAATACTGTTGCTGAATATTTAATGTTACTGAATGTATGATGTTACTGAGCAAAGAAGTTTGCTGAATATTGAATTTTACTGAATATAGAATGTCACTGAATTTAGATTGTCACTGAATATAGATTGTCACTGTTTAGATTTTAGGTTTAAACGGCAGATCTACATCATGGCACAAGGGTAGTAACCCATAAGTGCTCCGTTATACTCCTAACTCAAGTCTTGAGTCCAACGAATCTCAGCGCAGTGCACGAGCTCTATAGCGCCGGCGAGGATTCTGAAATACTTTAGGTAGATTTTTCACTCCAAATTTTGCCCGGGTAGCGCTGTTAGGCTACTCTTTTTTTTTCAAACCGACAAGTTAAATTTTTTAATGTGCACAACAATACACAAGCGTCTGATCTTACTACCCAGAGACTTGGGGAATTACCAGAAGTCCACATGAAAAAAATCCCAGCCCTCACTGGAGCCTGAACCAGGTACTCCAGCACTTAAGGCAGACGCCATGCTTCGAGACCACGCATCCCCTAAACGTATGTTACTGAATATAGATTGTTACTGAAAAAAGAATGTGCTACACTCTTACTCAGTCATTTAAGAAAAAGTTGAAACTTTTGAACTGATTGAGACATTTCCCCCCCCCCCCCCCCCCCCCCCCCCCTTTTTTTTTTCCCCACAAAAAAACAATCTTAAATTATCATGGACTAAGGAGAAGAAAAGACTGACATCCCACATGATCTGAGCATTGAGAAGAATTGGCTCATAAACAGCATCCGGTTCTGAAAGTTGAGGTCTTTTGGCCATGTTAAACCTCGTGATGGTCTGGAGAGAACTTTGATGGAGGATCCAGTTTCCAGAAAACTAGATGGAAGCAAACCACTATGAAGATGGGGTACAAGACATTGCAGATGCATTTGCTATGAAAGCACATTGGGCTGGAGAATCGACCAGAGAAAGAGAGACTTTCAGGTGTGCCATGGCAAGAGCAAGGTTCTGTAAAGGACCTGCTGAATGGTGATGATGACTCAGTATATAACAGTTTGCTGTTCATTGAAATCACCAGTATGATTGTATGTGTCCGTTCTAGTTTCATCACAGGAAGCTATGACAGAACGTGCAAAGTTTGGGATACCAGCTCTGGGGAAGAGATCCACACACTGGATGGTCATAAGAATGTGGTGTATGCCATCTGCTTCAACAACCCATATGGGTAAGTGCTTAATTGTGATTTATTGACTTTTTTTGATTTCACAATTATTGGTGGATACATTTTTATTTGTTCCTTAGGTGTCTTACTTCAGTGTTATGTGCAGACTTTTCATATTATGTTGTTTAAACAATTATATGCTGCTATTCAATTTTATGCTGTACTTCAGGTTACTCTTGCATGCCATTAAAAATCATTTTATTTGCCGTGCTTCACGCATGAACAGTAGGTTGCCCCATGTTTGATACAGACATAAAAAAACAACTGAAAAAGATTTCTAGATTCTGGGGCAGGGAATCAAGGACAGTCGTCAATTAGTGAAAAATTGTGTGGATGCTTCAGAGGTGTCGTTTTATAGATGAATGATGAGAATACCTTCTATAGATTAAAAAGTGTAACGAAGATATCTTGAAAGACATTAACTCAGGGAGAGAACTTATTATGCAGATCAGAAGACAACAGTCTAATTCTGTGGTCACACAATGAGAAGGGGAAAACTAGATTACATCATGACAGTGGAAAGATTAGTTGAAGAGTGATAGAGGAAGACCAAGAGAGAAGATACTGAACAGTTTGGCATCTCGGCATGGAGGTTCAATTGCGTGATTATATGGTTAAAGACAGAAGGCTGCAGAAAGACGTGATTACCAACAATATTTTTGGGCACAGGAAGAGACGACAAAAATAAAATGCTTGGCCTTCTTGAACAAGGTGAAACATCAGAGAACTTTTTTTGCACATTGCACATGTTAAAAATCATTTAGTAATTGGAGTTTTTACTTGACAGTATGTCAGAACCAAAAATGTTACCAAGTGATGTCTAACAATCGCTGATATTAACAGTTGTAAGAGACAAAGATGTTACTACATTGGGCACTTTCTGAGGTGAAAAGGACAAGGAAGCACAAAATAGGAATTGAAATGGGAACAAAAGGGTTTAGTAGGCTATGTTGTCCAAGAGAAACCCTGTCACAAACGTTGATCAAAGAGGCCAGATGTGTCCGACTAAATTACGTACAGGGTAGAACGAAATGCAGGAATCAGTTGCAAACCTTATGTGACATCAATGGGATAATGAAAATGAATGAATGTGTTTCATTGTAAGGGTATGTCTGCACCAACTAAAAACGGAGGAAAACCCCCACCGAAGTCTGAATGAACCAAAAGTTTTTTTCTTTAAAAAAAATATTAACTCTTTCAGTCTTGGCGGGCTTAGCATCAGAGGACCAAGGGTGGTTAAGAGAAATCTATAATCGGTGCATCTTGTGTTCATTAGGCTATGAACGTATGATGTGTTTCTGGGGACTGAAAGGGGTAACATTTAATAAAGTCATACAGATAGTTGACATTTAGAATATCAGATTGAATGAATTCTTATTGGAAATTGTAAGCTTTTATTTAAAAATGCATCTTTTGTTCTTCCAGCGACAAGATTGTGACTGGCTCATTTGATAAGACTTGCAGAATCTGGAGCGCTGAAAGCGGCAAATGTTACAATATTTATAAAGGTCATACGGCTGAAATTGTGAGTCTATTGCAAAATGTGCAAGTGTGCCTTCACCACATGTTTTATCAGTATGTTTTTTTTTTTACTCCTTTGTCTTCACCGCATATTCTCAGCTTTGTAATCCTTCACAATGTGTTTCATTTACTTACATTGTCAACTTTACCTAGGATATGGTACTAATTTCTTTATAAGAAACTAGAAATGAAAAAGAGTTGCTGAAGGAAATAAAAATAGACAATGAAATATTTTGGCCATATTGAAAGACATAACACTTATAAAAACCATATTGGAGGGGGATGTTTAAGGCAAGTGAGTATGCTTGTGGACAGTGATACAAGTGGGAGGCTAATATCAAGAGATGGATAAACAGCAGTCTGAATTTCTATCACACTTTTAAGGTGTTCATTTGAGGCAACTTATATTACCTTATACAGCCCAAGAAGCCAGGATGGCAACCTTTCAGTGGGAGAAATACTCTGCAAGGACCTGCTTCAAGATGGTGGTGGTATATTTCAGTCGTATGTCTGTGTGTGTGAAAGAGAACAAGTGAACAAACTCTATTTTCGAAGGTTCACAAATTGGGCACACAGGCCTATCTAACATTCATACTATCATCTTTCACACAACAGCAATATACACACATTCATACACACAACACGCTGACATATTAATAAATACATATACAAAGAATCTCATACAAACATACATACATATATGTGTGAGAGAGAGAGGCTTCCTTACCAATATGATAGTTCAGTTCCGAAAAGTGAACCATTTCATTCTTTGTCAATATAGTCTAGACATGGTTTTATTCCAACTTTCTCTCTATTGCTGGTGTTCGTAACCCTGACTCTACTTTTGTTGTTAGTGATCTTACGGAGGCAGCACATTTCACATGCAGTTATTTTCTGTTCTAGTGCCCTTTCTGTTGTCCATGTATGGCACTGATAGCATAAAGTAGGGATGAAGCTGCCATTAATCATTTGCTGTTTTGCTGGAAGGGAGACATTTGGGTGTACTATAAGAGATAAAATAAAAAGTTAAGTCATAAGAGACAAATCGACACAGAATAATACTAAATTACATACAAAGAAAACAAATAAAATGGTTTGTCCACCATACAAGGCATATAAGTACATGAAGTACATGTGAATTAATTTTGTTCCTACTATATAGTTCTAGGGTCAACTACCTGGCTGTTTATACGGATACCAAGGCATTCTCCTGGAAAGGGAAAACAGTAAATAAGTGACCAGATCACCTGTGGATCCTTCTTGGTTTTGAAGTCTCTCACAGATCCCAAACATTTTCCACACAGAATAACGCACCATAATTTATCAAAATTAAAATGTCAATAATAACAGCAAACTTGAATTCTAATGTTAGGTTTGGAAAAAAAAATTTAAATCAAAGGCCCCTTCAGTTTGTTTCCTTGACTCCCTGGGGCCCATAAATCACCATATATGAACCACTATTCTTTGGCAAAAAGCAAAAGATTAGATTTTGAATCTGTTTGGAGTTATATAAATCCTATATTGATATACGGATGTGAATCATGGACAGTTAGTAAATTAGTGAAAACTTATTTGGAAGCTGCGGTGATGTGATTTTATAGACGAATGATGAGAATACCCTGGACAAATAAAAAAGAGTAATGAGGACGTCTTGAAAAAAACTGACTCACAAAGAGAACTGAATGCCCACATCAGAAAGAGACAATCTACATTCTTTGGTCATGTGATGAGAAGGAGAAAACTGGAGTACATGGTGACAGTAGGAAAGTTGGAGGGAAGGAGAGGCAGAGGGAGACCGAGAGAAAAGATGCTGCACAGTTTCAGAGTTGATTGAAAGTAAACAAGACAGAAGGTTGTGGATGGACATGACTACCAACGCCACACGAAATGGACTTGAAGAAGAAGATTTGATTTGGAATCTGCACATTACAGCCAGATTTTCTAAATGCATTTTCTTATCTAAAAATTGTATTCTCCATTATTCATTAGGGAATTTAAATTACACATAAGGCATTCAAGATAGCTGTAGTCACTGGTATCATTGGGCTGTATCACGTGTATTCTTCTTAAAATTAGAAAAACCAAAGGGAATGAGGGAAAAAAGGTGAAGAAAGAAAGGGTGAGCTGCATATGGTGGCAAAGGATATAATGCACTTGACAAACCCACCCATGCTAGACTAGAGATTACTTCGTAACTGTTGTGGTATGCCCCAATATATCCGTCCTGTATGGCTGTACATTTGAAGAGGATTTGTCCTGTTTGATTCTCATCCTTGAGGTGCTAATCCTATAGACTGAAATCCTGGAAAGGAAGAACTTGAAAAAAAAAAAGATAAGATGACAAAGAGCAAGTTGTTTAAGGGCCTATATTCCATTAGGAGATAAAGAGCAGTAGAAGAATAAGAAGCAGAACTTTTTAAAGGCAGTAGCAAAGCTTGATGCCTGGGAGGGTCGTAAAGAACCCATTAAAACATCAGTGCTGTGTGCTGGACCTATAATTGTATAGATCAATTGGTTCTCAGTGGGTGGTGTCATCAGCAGTGCACTCGCTGCCTTTACTTCCTAGGAGTGTGGTAACATACTTTAGGGGGACAGACAGGTCAATCAGTCTGTCATAAGTGAACAGTATCTGGCCATAGATGACTACCTCTTACTTGGCCGGCATACATCATTCTATGTCTCAGGACAGGGCATAACAAACTAAACAAGCATGTGCACGGACTTCGTCTTAGTAGTTTACCATTGTACCCCCCCCATAAGCTGTATGTGCCAATTGCAGAACATATCCTACAAGTTTGTCTGTAGTACAGCCAGTTAAAAAGGGAATACAGGGCTCATTGAGTCAACACTAAACTCATTGTTGTTTGGAACTAAAGAGGAACTCAAGAAAACAGTAAGTTTTAAAAGAACTTTTCTATTGGTATAAATCAGAGAGTGATCACAAAAAGAAGAAGAAATTTTCCAGGATATTCGCTTTATCAACCTGGCAGTCAGGGTAATCTTGTTTTTGAAATCTTCCCAGTGCACATTTGAACCTCAGACCCTTGGGCATGCAGGTGAGCATTTAGCTGCTGTGCCACTGTATCTCTTTATGGTGGAGTCATCATCATCATCATGTAGCAGGTCCTTTGCAGAACGTCATTGTCATCACGTCTGCATGAAAGAAATTCTGTCTCTCGCTAGCCCTCTTACGTCATGTACTTTGATATTCAAGGAGTTACTTATATCCTGTGCCCATCTTCATGGTGATCGGCCTCTGCCCCACCTTCCTGGTACCATGCCTTCTGCTTTTATTTTTTTCCAATCCACCATGGTCCTTGATATGACCAAAATATTTCAGCTTCTGATGGTGGAGTAGTGTTTTTGGAAAAGCTTTAGGCCAGTAGTCTGAGTGAATAATCTGATAAGACTTCTAACAAGACTTGTGAAGAAATTACTGTCTTTTGTGGTTTCTGATTCAGGTTTGTGTCAGTTTCAATCCACAAAGTACATCCATTGCAACAGGCAGCATGGACACTACTTGTCGCATCTGGGATGTGGAGAAGGGAGTGGAGTTATCAGCGTTGACAGTAAGTCAAGTTTGTGGTTCTATTTTGTTAGCACAAATGTTGGTTGTCAGTTGTTTGTTCTCCTTCAGAGTTGGAGCACATCTGCCTGAGAGGTGAGCGACTCACTGTCTGCACACAAGTAACTCTAGAAATGGGTGAACAATGATCTGGATCTGGATTCTTAAAAACAAAAATTACAAGTTTCCTGCATTTTGGGAAGGGAGTCTGCTAGTCCTGAAAAGGACTGGCAGTTTGCCTGGGTCGCTGCTGGGTGGGTCTCCTGTGGGGCAGTGCTGGCTGTCCAAAAAAGGGGGCAATGCAGCTTCAAGTACTGGTTACATCCTCGTCTGCCTCTGTTTGGTTCTTTGCTGTGTGTTCCACTCCTCTTGCTTCTCTGCTTCATCTTCGGTTGTTTGGTTCAGTGCCTCTTTTCGTCTTGTCTTGTAGTGTGCAGTAGGCTGTGTCCCCTTCTTTGCTTAGTCCGTAGTCCATGTGATGTCCTGCTATGAGTTCAGTAAGTGATAGGCATAGCTTTTCTTCCTGCTTTTCCTTGTCGAAGATTAGGTGCACTGTTAATCCTGTCACCTCCAGCCTGTTTGGGAACATCTTTTTGTTCGCGCTTCGGAGCAGTTCTTGAAAGTCGGCCTTCATGCTCTCAAGGCTTTTGTCATCAGTAACCGTTCCTGTTTCTGAGTCTGTGATTTCAGTTTTAGTAGCTGGGCATTTGTCCACTTTGAGTATCTGCGCTGCTGTTTCTGTGGCTGTGTATTTGTAAGCCCTGCTGACATTCGGTTTCTTAGCTGCTTTGCTGGCTGACTCTCTTTCTTTTTGTAGCAGGTCACGTTCCGTTTTGGCTGCTTGTACTGCTGCCTCTGTCTTTGTCTGCACCAGCTGGGCTACTTCGCGGTAGGCGGCTTCTCACATTGTTTTTAGCTGCGCCAGCTCCTTCTTTCTCTTCTCTCTTTCTGACTGGTGGCTTATTTCTTTTCTGTCTGGATATGAGATCTCTAATCTTTTGTCGATTCTCTGCGGCTTCTGCCTGTTTGTTTGCTTGCTGGGTAGCATCTGCCAGCTGTCTCCCTTCAGGTCTAGCGTCTCAGTTCTTTCAGCTGCCGTGGCGACTTTTTCTTTCCAGAATGCTGTGATTTCGGTTCTCGGTTCATTAATCACTTGTGAGAGTTCAGTAGGAGTGACCATAAGAGATAAGATCAGGAATGAGATCATAAGAGAACAAGTCGGCACAGAACCAATTCTGGATTACATACAAAGACAGCAAGTGAAATGGTTTGCCCACTTAGAGAGAATGCCTTGTGACACCATACCATACAAAGCATACATGGAAAGAGAAGAAGGACATAGAGCACGGGGTAGACCAAGAACAAGATGGAAGGATAACATCAGAGAAACTCTACAACTGCACGATGTGCCTATGGTCAAGGCAGCCAGAAGAGCTAGAAACAGAACCTTATATCTCCCTCGACACCCACAGCGGTAAAAGAGGAAGTGAAGAAGAAGAAGAAGAGAGTTCGGTGTGCTTGGCGGCAGAGCGTGCCTTATTTGATTGTCTGCTTTCTGTTGGCATGGCAGGCTGGTTTCTCTGTGGACTTGACTCTTGTTGCCTGGCTGCGTTAAGCCCTTGCAAAGTGCAAAAGTTCATCTTTCACTGTCTGCCTCCATAGGAGTCAGTGTGCAGCTGATCTCTCCTAAGTGTCTGTGTTAGTGTTACATCTTTCAGGTTGCATTTGCATGTGCAGTAAATCAACACTGAACAGAATTACAGCCTTCACATGCTTGTAGAAAATCTAAGGAGATCTGAGCACCTTGTCCAGTGCACATTTTAATCCATTTGGTCAATTTAGTAAATTGTATTGTACCTTTTACTTTTAAAATAAAGTATTTTAATACAGTTTTCACATTTTGAACCCAGTGAATTGTTTTGTAATGATTTTTTCCTCTTTTTCTTTATTTGTTATATTGCAGGGCCATGCCGGTGAGATTATCTCATTATCATTTAGCCAGACTGGTTCTGAACTGCTAACAGCATCATTTGATCACACAGTCTCTCTTTGGGATATGCGATCTTACAAGTAAGTATGAGATATTTATCAGTGCAAGGTACATCTCAAATCTGATGTCTCTCACTCTTTCTATGAATATTCATTTCCTGACCAAAATCTGTTCATATATAGTTGGTGTAGGCCAGAGTGGTTATTTTCAGTTCTTATACTGAGCAGTTTGCAGCAAATCACTTTACCAGTTTGATAGCTTTTTCTTCTTCTTTTCCAGCAGTTATCTCATCAGCCTGTTTGGGGGAGAGGTAAGGATGTTCTGTTTGCTGTTTCTAATGTGTTGCTTAAGATAATCTTCAATTTATTGCCAGGCATGTTTCACTGTATCTCATCAGGTACATACTTCAGTACTAATTGAATATAATGAAACCAATAAATGAATCCTTTTAACTGAAATACATGATTGACCACAGGCAAACGTAAGTACCTATTTTACCAGGGAAAAAACAGGTTATGACAATGTCTTTTTATCTGCACAAATCTGGAAGGAAGTGATTAATTCCTCAATATGATCTAATTTTCATCAAAAAAAAAAAAAAATTTGATTTCTGATGTGTTTTTAAAAAATCAAATTTTTAGCTATGATTAGAACTCTTTAGAATTTTTTCTTTGTCTTACCATCCTCCTCTGGTTACCTCAGCGAAGTGGTGGAAGGAGATGTAAGAATATAATTCCTAAGCTAATGAAATGTTATGCGTTTTCTTGTTATGAAAGAATTCCTAAGCTAAAGGAATGTAATGTGTTTTCTTGTTATGGAAGAATTCCTAAGCTAAAGGAATGTAATGTGTTTTCTTGTTATGGAAGAATTCCTAAGCTAAAGGAATGTAATGTGTTTTCTTGTTATGAAAGAATTCCTAAGCTAAAGGAATGTAATGTGTTTTCTTGTTATGAAAGAATTCCTAAGCTAAAGGAATGTAATGTGTTTTCTTGTTATGAAAGAATTCCTAAGCTAAAGGAATGTTATGTGTTTTCTTGTTATGGAAGAATTCCTAAGCTAAAGGAATGTAATGTGTTTTCTTGTTATGGAAGAATTCCTAAGCTAAAGGAATGTAATGTGTTTTCTTGTTATGAAAGAATTCCTAAGCTAAAGGAATGTTATGTGTTTTCTTGTTATGGAAGAATTCCTAAGCTAAAGGAATGTAATGTGTTTTCTTGTTATGGAAGAATTCCTAAGCTAAAGGAATGTTATGTGTTTTCTTGTTATGAAAGAATTCCTAAGCTAAAGGAATGTAATGTGTTTTCTTGTTATGGAAGAATTCCTAAGCTAAAGGAATGTAATGTGTTTTCTTGTTATGGAAGAATTCCTAAGCTAAAGGAATGTAATGTGTTTTCTTGTTATGGAAGAATTCCTAAGCGAGAGGAATGTAATGCATTTTTATGTTTTCTTTCTTATAACCAGGCGCATTCATACACTGATAGGCCACAAGGCCGAGATCAGCAGTGCCCAGTTTAACTGGGACTGCTCCCTGATAGCATCCGGGTCAATGGATGGCACATGTAAACTCTGGGACAGGGCTTCAGGTTAGTACATACTAAATATTGTCTCAGTTCTTCTTCTTTCGTTTACTTGAAATAGATTATCTATATTTGCAGTGTTGTCTCTACTTTGAACTTTACTGTCCATTGTAATTCAGTCAGCGACCCGTAAAGTTTGGCTTGCACCAGTGTTTCTCTTGGCCAAAGGTTTTGACTGGAAATTTCATTTTTGGGACAGTCTTGGAGGATGTGATCTGTTGTCTCAGGTGCCACTTTTAAATTGTGCGTACATGTGACTGCCAAGTTGATTGTGGCCTGTTTGAAGGCATAGAAGTATTGATGTTATTATTTGTGTATCCTTTACAGGACTTTGCAGAACCAACCTAAGCAGTTTTTCTTCTTACTGTTTGGGATTTCACTAGGTAATTTTACATTGAGTAGTTTGCCAGTGCTTTCAGAATAGTTGGCTCTCGATACCACTGTCACCCCCAAAACATCCACAATTGCTTTACTTCCATCTCTTAAAAAAAATACAAACAGCTTTAGCATGTGATAACCAAATAACCATTTTTTTTACTGTGCTAATAATACCATTTATGGAAAATCTTGCAGAAACAGCAGAAAATGCTGCTAAAGCACATGATCTACAAACCCTACACAAAATTAACCAGCAAATTTGCGGAAACAGAAACAATTATCACAGCATACCCATGAGAGATAACCAAGGCAGACTGCTCACCACAGAACAAAAACAAGACATGCAGTGGACTAAACACTTCTCCGAACTCTTGAACAGACCTGATCCTGAAAATCCCCCAGATATTCAACCAGCCTCTCAGGACATTGACATTATTACTGAACCACCAAGCAAACAAGAAATCCTTAAAGCTATCCACACTTTAAAGAACAACAAAGCACCAGGCAAAGACGAACTGCCAGCAGAACTTCTCAAAGTAGATCCCAACACAACTGCTAGCATTCTAGAACCATTGTTCAAGGATATTTGGGAAAAAGAAGTGTTGCCTGATGACTGGACTGAAGGAACAATAGTCAAAATCCCCAAAAAAGGAGACTTAACAGACTGCAATAATTGGAGGGGAATTACTCTACTCTCAGTACCAAGCAAAATATTTTGTAAAATCATCATAATGCGGCTTGAAAAAGGAGTAGATAAATGCCTACGAGTGGAACAAGCAGGATTCAGAAAGGGCAGAGGAACAATTGAGCACATCTTCGCCATACATAACATTTTAGAACAATGCAGCGAATGGCAGAGAAGTATATATATATTAATTTTGTGGACTTTAAGAAAGCTTTTGACAGCGTCCATAGAGACAGTTTGTGGAAAATTTTACGACATTATGGAATTCCAGAAAAAATATTCAACATAATTGCTCTCTTCTATAAAGACTTTTCCTGCAGTATAAAAAATTACAATACATCTTTCCCAGTAAAGACGGGTGTAAGACAGGGATGTTTTATGTCATCTCTCCTCTTCAACCTTGTGATTGATTGGATACTAAAGAACACAGTAGACAGGACATTAAGAGGCATACGATGGACTCCATTCACCATGCTTGAGGACCTTGATTTTGCAGATGATATAGCACTCCTATCACATAAACATGAACATATACAAGAGAAAAGTAACAGACTAAACTGCACAGCAGAAATGGTTGGACTGAGAATAAATACAAAGTAAACTAAGATCATGACAAACAGTCCAAACCAACAACCAGTGACCATAAGTAACCAATCACTTGAAAATGTAGAACATTTCACATATCTTGGCAGTGTGGTGTCCCTACTGGGAGGGACAGAGGAAGACATACAGTCACGTCTGAACAAAGCTAGAGCTGCTTTTGGAAGGATGAGGCAAATCTGGAAATCCAACAATTACTGCAGAGGAACGAAACTCCGACTCTACAAGAGCATCATTTTGCCAGTTCTTCTTTATGGAGCGGAATGCTGGAGAATGACCAAAAAGGATGCACACAAGCTGTCCACCTTCCACCACACATGTCTACGTAGAATTATCAACATTTTCTGGCCAGATACAATCTCAAACACTAAACTACTTCAAGCCACAAACCAAGAAACTTTAGACAGTATGAATACCAAGAGAAGATGAAAATGGCTTGGCCACGCTATGAGAATGACTTCTGATATACCTGCCAAAACAGCTCTCACATGGACACCAGAGGGAAAGAGAAAACAGGGGCACCCAAAAACAACATGGAGACGAACGATGGAAAGTGACCTGAGTGCGGCATCTTTGACATGGAAAACTGCACTGAAGATTGCACAGGACAGGAAAGCATGGAAAGTCCTCTCTGAAGCCTCATGTGCCACTAGGCATAACGAGAACTGATGATGAATAATACCATTTAAACAAACACTAATATAAAGACGCAATTATATGTTGCGTGTTCTAAAGTGGCAAACCAGACTATCTCTATATCTGTGCAGAGAATGATTGTGACATTAACTATATTAGACACATGCAATTTCTATTGTCTTTCTTTTCCAAAAGCCTTTGATGAGGGAGCAAGTAGTAGGTGCATTTCGGAAACGGGGGGGGGGGGGGGGGTTGGGGCATCGAAGACTATCTCTTTATGTGCGCAGACAATGATTGCGACAGTAACCATATTTAACACGTGCGATTTCTATTTTCTTTCTTTTCCATTTAGCCAAGCTATGCCACAGCAACGCGTGGCCGGGTACAGCTAGTGTTCTATATTTTCCACAGAACAGTTCTAGCTTAGTCATCACATATGTTCTTTAATCTTCATACAACAATTATAGTTTAATCATCATCATATGTTCTATATTTTCCACAGAACAGTTCTAGCTTAGTCATCACATATGTTCTATAATCTTCATACAACAATTATAGTTTAATCATCATCATATGTTCTATATTTTCCACAGAACAGTTCTAGCTTAGTCATCACATATGTTCTATAATCTTCATACAACAATTATAGTTTAATCATCATCATATGTTCTATATTTTCCACAGAACAGTTCTAGTTTAGTCATCACATATGTTCTATAATCTTCATACAACAATTATAGTCTAATCATCATCATATGTTCTATATTTTTCACAGAACAGTTCTAGCTTAGTCATCACATGTGTTCTATAATCTTCATATGACAATTATAGTTTAATCATCATCATATGTTCTATATTTTCCACAGAACAGTTCTAGCTTAGTCATCACATATGTTCTATAATCTTCATACAACAATTATAGTTTAATCATCATCATATGTTCTATATTTTTCCTCAGAACAGTTCTAGCTTAGTATTTTAGTCATCACATATGTTCTATAATCTTCATACAACAATTATAGTTTAATCATCATCATATGTTCTATATTTTCCACAGAACAGTTCTAGCTTAGTCATCACATATGTTCTATAATCTTCATACAACAATTATAGTTTAATCATCATCATATGTTCTATATTTTCCACAGAACAGTTCTAGCTTAGTCATCACATATGTTCTATATCTTCATACAACAATTATAGTTTAATCATCATCATATGTTCTATTATTTTCCACAGAAACAGTTCTAGCTTAGTCATCACATATGTTCTATAATTCTTCATAACAACAATTATAGTTTAATCATCATCATATGTTCTATATTTTCCACAGAACAGTTCTAGCTTAGTCATCACATGTGTTCTATAATCTTCTTTACAATTTTAGTCTAATCATCATCATATGTTCTATATTTTTCCTCAGAACAGTTCTAGCTTAGTCATCACATATGTTCTATAATCTTCATACAACAATTATAGTTTAATATCATCATCATATGTTCTATATTTTCCACAGAACAGTTCTAGCTTAGTCATCACATATGTTTCTATAATCTTCAATACCAACAATTATAGTTTAATCATCATCATATGTTCTATATTTTCCACAGAACAGTTCTCTAGCTTAGTCATCACATATGTTCTATAATCTTCATACAACAATTATAGTTTAATCATCATCATATGTTTCTATATTTTCCACAGAACAGTTTTCTAGCTTAGTCCATCACATGTGTTCTATAATCTTCTTACAATTATAGTTTAATCATCATCATATGTTCTATATTTTCCACAGAACAGTTCTAGCTTAGTCATCACATATGTTCTATAATCTTCATACAACAATTATAGTTTAATCATCATCATATGTTCTATATTTTCCACAGAACAGTTCTAGCTTAGTCATCACATATGTTCTATAATCTTCATACAACAATTATAGTTTAATCATCATCATATGTTCTATATTTTCCACAGAACAGTTCTAGCTTAGTCATCACATATGTTCTATAATCTTCATACAACAATTATAGTTTAATCATCATCATATGTTCTATATTTTCCACAGAACAGTTCTAGCTTAGTCATCACATGTGTTCTATAATCTTCTTACAATTTTAGTCTAATCATCATCATATGTTCTATATTTTCCTCAGAACAGGTCTAGTTTAGTCCTCACATGTGTTCTATAATCTTCATACAGCAGTTTTTTTTTTTTTTAAATAAAGATAATTTTCTGGAATTACAGCAGGGTCATGGTCTGCTCTCGGCAGGCAGCTAGCCATTCTGTGGAAAGAGACTGAGCCATATTGGATAAAACCCAGTGCAGGGAAGTAAATCCCGTCGACTTCGGCCTTTTAACACAACAGCAGAAGTGGAAGTTGTAAGAATGATGATCAGTTATCAGTTCACTATTATTAACATGCTACTGTGTTTTTTTAAAACACAAGGGAGATGTATAGCCACGCTCAGAGGTCACACTGACGAGATTCTAGATGTGGGATTTGACTGCACAGGGCAGAGAGTGCTGACGGCTTCAGCAGACAACACAGCCATGTGTTACAGCGCAAGCACCAACCAGCTGCTGTCCAAGTTTCTGGGTCATGAAGGGGAGATATCCAAGGTGATTGGCTGGTTTTTATTCCTACATACAATCTCTTCTTCTTTTTTCTTGTGCTCTGCCAATTAATTGATAGAACTGTTTAAAATAAACTATAATTTTAGAAATGACTAAAATATACATACAACTTTATGAACAGGGAATAAATATTTTGAGTTATAAACATAACATCAAAAAAAAAAATTGTCTCTCTCTCTCTCTCTCTCTCTCTCTCTCTCTCTCTCTCTCTCTCTCTCTCTCTCTCTCTCTCTCTCTCTCTCTCTCTCTCTCTCTCTCACATGCACGCACCACACACCGACACAGATTTTATATATATATATATATATATATATATATGTATATATTATATATATATATATATATATATATATATATATATCTCATATATATATGTATAAACACAGACAGACATTCTCCTTGACTTACGCCCTATGCAACTTAGACAATATCCACTTATGACCACAGAAAAATAAATAAATAAAAATAGTAAAGAAAGAAAGATAACTAACTAACTACATTGGTAAGAGTCAAAAAGTTATCAGAACTGATGCATTAGGTTACATATTATGTATTTTTCACATTATGTAAAATAATTATACATAAAGAAATTGCATTTTTATGTTTTATTTACAGTTCTTATAACCTCATTGAATGAAAATAGTTTAGATAAATATAAATTTGACTTACAAGCTGTTGGTCAGAACGGAAATCACTCAAGGATACCCTGTATATAATATGATGGGAGCCATGGTAGCATAGGGGCTGGATGTTCACCTGTCGGGTCAAGGGTTCAAATCCACATTGAGGCCTAGAATACATACCAGCTAATGCCATGGGAAGTAAAGGTGGTCAGCGTGGTGTTGATCACATCACCCATCGAGTGCGGATTGTTCTATAAAAGAATAGGTCTAGCGGTATATGCATGATGTGTCCGAGGGGTTAATAAAGTCCTAAATTACTTTACTGTTATACCCTCTTCTTCTTCTTATCCTTTCTTACTGAATGTTAGAAATATTTCAAATAAAATGCTCGGTATGCATGACCAAAATATACTTTCAACCTTAAGAAAATGCTGATTTATAAAACACAGATAAAGGTGATACTTTAGTTTACATGGTTAGATCAGTTTATTCAGAGCCAGCGAAGTGCATGAGCATTCACAAAGAGCAAAAGGGGGAAATTGTCAAGGAGATAAATAGTAGCTTTGCTGTTAAAACTACAGCCTCATGATGGAAACTGTCTCTGTAACATGGGCATTAGCATGGCTTGGTACTCAAGAGTTCACACATACGTGCACACATACATTCACACATACTTTCACACATATATTCACACATACGTGCACACATACATTCACACACATTCACACATACATGCACACATACATTCACATATATGTTCACACATACATGCACACATAAATGTACACATACATTCACACACATTCACACATACATGCTCACATACATTCACATATATGTTCACACACATGCACACATACATTCACACATACATTCACACACATTCACATATATGTTCACACATACATGTACACATAAATGCACACATACATGCACACATACATTCACACACACATTCACACATACATGCACACATACATTCACATATATGTTCACACATACATGCACACATACATTCACAAAAACATGCATACTTAGTGACTTAATTAATATGCTTAAGAAAATCCGGGCAGTTTATATATATATATATATATTTCTGTGTATAGGAGGGTGTTGCGTAGTACTGTGGTTTTTTTAAATCTGCCTTCTAGCCCAGTATTTCTGACTTTAGGATTTCTTGAGAGCGAGAGTAGGCTCATCTCTTCGCCTAGATATGTGTGTGTATGTATGTATAATAGAGAGTATGTCTGAATTGTTTGTGTATGAACATGTGTGTGAGAAAGAGAGAGAGAGAGAGAGTAAAATAACAGTTATCCTAACCAACGTGTTTCTTGTGGTACATTTTTCTCAGATCACATTCAACCCCCAAGGCACTCTGGTGATGACAGCCAGTGCAGACAAGACGGCTCGGCTATGGGACCCTGAAACTGGAGACTGCAAGCAGGTCCTTGAAGGACATACAGATGAGATCTTTAGTTGTGCTTTCAATTATGAGGGCAACACAATCATTACTGGTGAGTATCAGTGTAGTGGATTGAACATCTAACCTGCTCAGATAAGGGCACACATGGGGCATTAACCCTATTATATTACCCTGGTAATGCCAAACAAAAATATAAAGAATTGTGTCATGACCCCATAGAATTTTATACAAAACACCTTTGGGGGAGGGGGGGGGGGGTAACAGTTGTGCACACATCACTAACATTTTACAAAAAAACAACATTTTATCAACATTATTTTTATATAAAGGAATTTATCAGTAAACACGAACATGATGAAATATTAAATAAAATCTATTCCCCAGTGCATAAAAAACGCTACATGTCATGTGACTCATGCCATGACCTCGTGACCTCTAGCACTGAGGGTTATGGGGAAACTTACATCACTTGGCTTTAGAAAAGCTGTTTGATTCGCTGAAAACGCCCTCAGAGGATATTTTTAACTAAAAGATTCATGTCCAGACCTCCTAAATGTTTGTGCAGTTGTGAACTCTGCCAAAAGTATTAACTGTGCACCTCGTAAACATGTCACTGTAGACAGGTCAGAAAAGTGACATTTAGGGGGAATTGGGCCCAGTCAGAAGTGTCAATTTTGTGGCTTTTCAGTTTGATAAGGTTAAAAATTCAGCTGGAAATCTTCAGGAGTAAATTTGATTAGACCACTGCCTAAAGTGAAGTTTAAAAAAAAAAAAAACACGGGCACACACACACACATCGGCTCAGCTACCAGCAGTGATAAGATTATTATTTTGATCTAGCCATTCTCTCTGTGTGTACTCTCCGCACTTTTTTAGGGAATAAAACAGACTCACTACTCCATTTTCAAGCTTGTCTTTACAGGGGACTAATTAAGAGTTTGCTTAAATTGGATATGTTGAGTCAAAAGGCACAGACAGATGTCGCGGCCTATCTGTAAACCAAAATACATCAAACCAGCTGCACTTTTAAGGGCATGTGAAGAAAATGAAAATATAGCCACAAAATTAGTATTGAACAATTTTGTGGGAATTATCTGAGAAGGCATAGAAATGAGAAACAAATGGATTGTGGAAGAGATGGCATCTGAAAGAAACTGTACTGTGAATGTTGATGAAAGAGGCCAGAGGTGCCAGACTAGACTCCTTACATAGCCATTTAAAAAATGGACAAGATAGAGCAGAATAGAGGAAAGGATTGCTAGCAGTTTTGTTCCATGTAACAGCTTAAGAAGATTTAAAAAAAAAAAATGATGATTTTTGTCAAAATCTTTGGTGCTATTAAAAAATTTATGTGATTAATTTAGGATGAAATTTCTCATAATCATTTATATACAAAAAAGTTTACAAAATGTTTCACATACTTCTCACTTACAGGTAGCAAAGACAACACGTGTCGCGTCTGGCGATGATGTTTAACGAATGGTCCTAAACTCTCAGTGCAATGTTTCAGGATATTTGTTATTGCCAGTTAGGATTTGGCAGTTTAATTTAGTTTTTCAGTTTTCCAGTGTTTTAATAAATTCAGGATATATATACACACACACACATGCACTCGCGCAAACACACACAGACACATATCAGAGGGAATTGTAGGGAAGAGCTAGATGTAGTTTTATGGATGTTACAAGATGTATAGCTTTAAATACTGTCAAATTAAACCTGTTAAATGTCCTTTTGCCTCCATCCAACCAACTTTTTGCTTGATATCCCAGTGCTGACAGACATCTTGATTTATCAGCTATTGTCATTTCAAGGAGCAACTGAAAAGTTGCGTACTTTAGTATAAAGGAGTCAAGACAATTACTTGGAAAATGGTGTTAAATTGAGTCCTTCTCTACAAATGCACTCCTCAAGTCGATGCACTTTTTTTATTCTCTTCTCTATAAAAGCACTCCTGAGGTCGATGCACTTTTTCATCCTCTTCATCACCTTTCTGATGACCTGATTGTAGAATTTCATTGTCTGGGTCTAGTACCAGGTCTCATTGTCTGGGTCTAGAACCAGGTCTCATTGTCTGGGTCTAGAACCAGGTCTCATTGTCTGGGTCTAGTACCAGGTCTCATTGTCTGGGTCTAGTACCAGGTCTCATTGTCTGGGTCTAGTACCAGGTCTCATTGTCTGGGTCTAGAACCAGGTCTCATTGTCTGGGTCTAGAACCAGGTCTCATTGTCTGGGTCTAGAACCAGGTCTCATTGTCTGGGTCTAGTACCAGGTCTCATTGTCTGGGTCTAGTACCAGGTCTCATTGTCTGGGTCTAGTACCAGGTCTCATTGTCTGGGTCTAGTACCAGGTCTCATTGTCTGGGTTAGAACCAGGTCTCATTGTCTGGGTCTAGTAATTAAGTCTTGGTAGTTTAAAAAAAATGATGTTGGCAGACGAGATTCTTCATATTTAGAAACAGGAAGGAGTCACATGCTGCAAGTAAGTAAGAATCGGCTTGATGGATGGTTTTTCTTTAAATGTCTAGAACTTGATTACTGAACTAGAAAATAGTTCCAGGCTAGATAAAAGTATTCTTGGGGTCTCTGTGGCCAAGTGTTCAAACCTTTTGCCTGACTGTCTGAGTTTTGGAGGTTCAGTTCACAGATATGCCCTTCTGTTCACGGTTTTACAGAGATCCTTGGGTATCATCAGTGGAGTTCATGTTATGTGTGATGTTCTCAGCAGGCAGCTAACCATACTGCAGAGAGAGACTGAGACATGAGGGTTAAAAACTCAGTACAAAGAAGTCGATCTCACAACTTTTAACTATAAAAAGGTTCTGTGATCAGGGCATCAGGAAGATGAAGAAGAGATTGGTGAAGCATAAAGGGATGGATAATTAGAGACGTACTAAATTTCACACTAAATTCCAGCTGCATGCCTTAAATCCATTCATGCTAAAAAAAATTTTCTTTGTATTTGTCAAGAAATGCATGTTCTAAATGTTTTTCTCCTATTTTTACTTTGAGCTTACTAAAGAAATCTGGTAAAAATGTCAACATCAAGCACAGTGGATGTTTTTAATATTGTGCATTTTGCCTATTTGAAAATAATAAACTCTAGTCTCAATTACTAAAATTGTGTAAAATTGCCATCTACTCAAGGGTGGCATGGGAGGTCTTGCAATATACTCAAGAGGAGCGCAACCTGAAAAATGTTGGAGACAACTGGTCTAAAGTAACGTGAACAAGAAATAAACATTTTCTGTTTGTTTGCATTCAAGCATGTATGTCTTATTTGTTTGCAGCTCATTTTGATGAGTAAACTGCTGAGACATGCCAGTATTCTTTGGTCTATCTACTACAGACATTAACAAATTAGTTTATTATAAGCTTTTATTCAGATTGCCTTTGGTTGTTTTTTTTTTTTTGCAGTTGTGAAAATAGTTCATTTCGTATGCGTATGCATGCATGCAAGAGTGAAAATAGTCAGTTTTTACATGTGTGTGCAGCATATAAGCAGATTTGAAAGTAATTCATTTTATATGTGTGTTTGCATATCTGCAAGTGTATATGTGCCTGCTTGTAAATGAACAGTGTTAGAATAGTCTTATGCGTTTGTATATGTATTTACTTCCAAACCATATTTTCCGGTTGTTTGTATGTATTTATTTATTTCCGAACGTTTTTTCCAGATGTGTGTACTGTTTGTATTTATTTCCATACCATATTTTCTAAATATGCGTTTTTGTGTATTTTAAAAATATCCATACCATATTTTACGGAGCTTATGTGTGTGCAAGTGTGTGTGTGGGTGTGGGTGTGGATTTTTCTTTTTAATGCCCAGCCTAGTTCTAAGATGTGTAATTATGTGTGTTGACTTGCAAATCGTAATTTGCAGAAATTGTATGTATGTATATGTTTTTTTTTTTAAAAACATTTCCATACTATGTTTTCAAAATGTTTGTATGTATGTATTAATTTCCATACCATATTTTGTAAAGATTTGTGTTTATTGAATTTAATACAAGCTTGTCCAGATATGAGTATGTGCATGCGTGTGTGTGTTCCAGATGTGTGTGTATATGTACGTTGATTTACCTACCATATTTTCACGTGATTTTTAGTGTGTGTGTGTATGTGTATGTACTTTTTTAAAATCTACAAAATATTTATGATTTTATTGATAAATGATGTGCTTATATTCTTGCCTGCATTTTTTCCATGCTTTATCTTCAAATATATTTGTTTGTTTTGTTTTATTTTTCAGAGATAATGTTTTATAATATAAGATTTCAGCATGTGAATAAATGTTGTTGCAAAAGAGAAGTAGAAATGTTCAGTGTTGTTGAGGAATTGTTGACATAGCACTCCAGGCAAACCTGCAAATGCTCTGTCTTATTCAGCATATGTAAGATGAAAATTCTGTCCTGCCTGATTGTGTTTTCTACCTACTTCTACTACCTTGACCTGCCTGATTGTATTATTCAGCCTACTTCTTCTACCTTGACCTGCCTGATTGTGTCTACTGTCTGCTTCTTCTATATTGGCCTGCCTGATTGTGTTTTCTACCTACTTCTACTACCTTGATCTGCCTGATTGTATCTTTTCGGCCTACTTCTACTACCTTGACCTGCCTGACTGTGTCTTCTGCCTACTTCTACTACCTTGACCTGCCTGACTGTATTATTCAGCCTACTTCTTCTACCTTGATCTGCCTGATTGTGTCTACTGCCTACTTCTTCTACCTTGGCCTGCCTGATTGTGTTTTCTACCTACTTCTACTACCTTCATCTGCCTGATTGTATCTTTTCGGCCTACTTCTACTACCTTGACCTGCCTGACTGTGTCTTCTGCCTACTTCTACTGCATCGACCTGCCTGATTGAATTCTTCTGCCTACTTCTACTACCTCAACCTACCTGATTGTATTATTTTGCCTACTTCTACTATCTTGACCTGCCTGATTGTGTCTTCTGTCTACTTTTACTACCTCAGCCTGTCTGACTGTGTCTTCTGCCTACTTCTACTACCTCGACCTGCCTGATTGTATTATTCTGCCTACTTCTACTACCTCGACCTGCCTAACTGTGGTATGACATTATGAATAACAAAATCAAACCTAGTCATTTGATATTTTTCACATGAGACAGCAGTAATCATTCTGTGTGGTTTTTGCTGACATGGGAATGGAGCAATTAACAGCGACTCATTTACTATAAAGCTGAAAATAAATTACTGGATAAGATTACTTGGCCTGAGTTGTTAGAGGGCCTATGCTCCAGTGGGTTAAAGAACAAAACAAGAGATGAAAACTTCTTTTAAAGTGTGAGTTTTAAAAAAAAGTGCTCATATATTTTTTGACATTTGCCTTATACCTCATATGTGATAGTACAGTTAGTAGTAATAGTAGTTGTAGTCGCTTTGTAACAGTAGTATTAGTCGAGGCTTAAACCGAACTGTAAACGGGTCGCCCAATAAATTGCTCTGTTCCTGAACCACTGAAATGCCCCTCACCACCCCAGCTAAAAACTGGCAAACAGTTCGGCCTGGCAATGAAAGACAAAGCATTGAAAAAAGTAGTTTCTATATATAAATGAGCTATGCACATGTATGCAAAGGGGAGATGGATGGAAGAAAGGAAAAGAGAATAGCAAATAAAGGGTAATAAAAAAAGAAAGAGCAGAAGAAAAAAAGTGAACAAAGAAAAGAAGAATGAATGGAAAGAAGAGATACATGCACAAGAAGCAGAGGAGATTGGAAGGGGGGGGGGGGGGGGGGGGGAGAAATTAGAAAACAAGAAGTTTGGAGGGAAAGGTAGAAGAATAAAAGGGAACGAAGGAAAGAAAGAAATGAAAAAAAAGAAGGCAGAGAAAAATTTGGGCACATCTAACGCTAAACCTAAACCTAACCCTAACACTACCCCTAACCCTAATCCTACCTCTAACCCTACCCTACCCCTAACCACACAAATGTATCGGTCATTAAAGCATACAGATCGGCAAAAAAAAAAAAAAGATCCCCCCCCTCCCCCCCCCCCCTCCCCCCCCCCCCCCCCGCAGCGTAAAAAAAAAAAAAAAAACCACAGATCTGGGGGACACAACCAAGCATTGGCAGCCCTGTCGACCTCACTGTCTTCTTTGATTCGTGACTTTTCCGCTCACTGTTTGCAATGCGGCCAAGGGAGAGAACTCCCACTAAGCCGAACTAAGCCGTCCAGGTACCGTCCGGTAGTGAAAGGAGAGCCAAAATTTGGAAACAAGAAGGAGAATGAGATAAAAGAAGAGTGAATGATAATAAAAAGTTAAATAATAACGAGGATAAAAAGAAGAAGCAAAAAACGAAGAAGAAAATGATGATTGAAGCAGGTGAAAATGAAGCAGAGAGGGAAGGACAGATTTTGAAAAAAAAAAAAGGAAACGTCGTGAAAAAAGGATAACGAAAAATGGAGGTCAGGGAAGAATAAATCAGAAGAGTGTGATAAAGAAA